GATTCGACTTGGACAGCGGTCAGATAGTATCGGCACTCAGCTAGCTTCATACACACGAGCAATCGAGAGCATTGAAGCACGGGCGCCAATGAGAGTACGCGATCACGGCCCAGCCTCCCAATGCCCATCCCACCCCCAACGACCACACCTAAAGGTATGACAGCTTGGCGCCGTGCGTGTCAATGCAGAGCAGGCTCCGACCCCAAACGGGCGAAGTATGTGTCAAGACATCTCCATGCCCGCCCACCAACTGACCCATACCCGCACTTATCTCTAGCCGAACAGGCTACGCCATTAACGGTGCACGAGCGTAGGTACAGAGAGGGGGAGGGGGAGGGGATCATAGCAGGCCAGAGCGGTTGAGAAGGACATCGACTCTCAGCGGGTCCGCTGCTGGCACCCCCGCGTCAGGAGGCGTGGCGGGGCGCGCTATTCGCACTCTCGGCCAAGCCTCCCGCGCCTGAGCATCATGCTTCGCCAGCTCGGCATGGCAGGGCACGCTATTCATACTATCGAGTCTCAGCCCGCGCGCGGGGTCAAGCATGTGACGCAATGAGACAATTCCACCGCCCTCTCCCACGCCATAACCCTGCTCCGCCCAGCAACTCCTTACTGCCGCTCGCAACACACATGCGATGCAAGAAACAGGATGAGAAGGGAGGATGATGATGGGTGGGACCATGGGAGTCACACTGACCTCAAGAGGGGACACCTCGTGGCCAGCAGTGCTCACCAGGCTCGCGGGGGACGCCCGCGGAAACTCCCGCGCACTGTCGTCGACACGTGCGGACATCCACATCCAATACTTCCGTCGCTGCACTGAACTATGATCGACGATCAATGCATGCTGACAAATGCGCAACAACAATATGCAGAGGCGCATGGAAGAGCAGTGACGATGCAAGAAAAAACGAGGCAATTCGTACTCTTCTTTTTACTCTGAGGCAAAAATTGCAAGAGAAAATTTTGTGGCAGGGCTGGACACGTCATCCACGAGCCTGCTGCAATATGGAAGTGGATTGCACGGCAATGCAGCACTGCACAGATGAGCCTGCAACACATGCGGAGGTGACGTGCGCTGGGCAAGAGCCCGCACCGCTGGCAGCGATCACCTCCGCAGGGAGACTCACCACCCTTGTGAAAACACGTCTTCCCCATGTCCGTCATGTGATCGTCTGGGGCTTCGATCCCTCGCAACTTCTGAACTGCGGGCTGCCTCATCTCGTCCCTTTGGCAACGGGCGCTCTTCTCCAGGAACCACACGCGGCTCCACCCTGCTTGGCGTCGGTGTTGACGGTGCCGCCCCACCGGGCGCCATGGCTGCCACGATGATCGGCTGCCCTGGGCATGCAATGCTCCTTGCCCTCATGGCGCGGCGCTCCTCCTCGGCGGCCTCTGCACGGCGCTCGGCAGCTGCCCGCATGGCACGGCGGCATGCGATGTCTCTAGCCCGCATGGCGCGGCGCTCCTCCTCGGCGGCGTCTGCACGGCGCTCGGCAGTTGCCTTGGCGCGGGCCTATCGGGCAGCCTTCTTGGCCTTCCAGTCGTTGGCAGCCACATCATCACCAGCATCTTCTGGCACAGGCCCGCCATGTCCGCCATCGACATCCGCCTGTAGCTCTGCCGCTGCGCACGCCTGGGCCTGTGTCAGGATGGGCGCACCCGACCCTACCACGGACGCGGCCGGGCCTTGCGGTGCAAGTACCTCTGCCTCCCGCTCTGGCACTGCTGGTGCCACTGCTGTAGGCTGCCGTCCCTGTGCCGCGCCTGCTGCGAGCTGCCCGAACGTCGCCTGCAGCTCGCCGAGCACCGCCGACAGCCCCAACAACTGCTGCGCCATGTTCACCTGGCCCCGCTGGAGCTCCGTGATGTCGGCTGCCATCGGCGACATCATGACATCGCTGTTCGGATCTGGGTAGTGCGTCTCCAGTTGGCGTAACATTAGCTGCGCCCTCGCCAACTCATTGTAGCGCTGAGTCAGGACAACTAACATGTGCACGAGGGTAGCTTGTGCCTCAACGAAGTCCACCTGTGTCCGTCTCATCCTCCTCTCGGCCAGCTCCATCTGGAGCCTGTCCGTCTGCTGGAGACTGGCCGTCTGCGATCTGCACACTACTATCATGGTCATGAGGACTGCATACTCCTGCGCCAAATCGTTGACCACGCACACATGGCGCCCAAGCTGCGGACTTGAACGCAACTTCTTGGCGGAGGCGATGACCAGTCGACGAAGATGCCTCCTGTGTGCCTGCACTGCTTCTCTAGTGCGAGGCAGCTCCTGCCATGAGGGGTGCGCCCTGGCCTCCTCAGGGAGCGCGGGCAACACTCCTGTCGGCTGCGCCGCCGAGTCCTCCGTGTCCGTGCCCTCCACGACCTCGAGCTCCTCGGACGTGACATCCTCCGACTTCGACCGACGCGAGGCTCGGGACCGACTCGGCCCAGACGTCGCGCGGCCTCTGCGAGCCTAAGGCTCGGGCGCAGCCTCCACCTCAGGCTCAGGCGTCCCTGCACCAGCCACTGCACGTTCTCCCTGCCGACTACGACCACGTCGTCGTCGTCTATCAGCACGTTCGCCCCGCTGACTGCGACCAGCCGTCCTCCGCGACGATCGGGCACGCTGATCGGGCTGCGGGTTTGGCGTCTGCTGTCGCCTGCCTTCCATCTGCTGCTGTGGCCCAACATTGGCCCACTGCGCTTGGGCAAGCATTGGGTAGCACACTCTGCACGGACTATCCTGCATCATGTTGGGCTCGCCGCACTGCTCGCATCTCCATGGTGCTGGCGGCGGCGGCGCAAGCACGACCTGCTTGCCCCTGCCCTTGACCGTGCCGCCCTCTTTACCTCCTCCGCGATGTTGCCACGACATCGAACTGTGGTGATTGCGTAGGCGCTGCGCCGCGACGACAACTCGTAGCAGCACACATGCACTGGGGCGGGCCTGTCACTCACGACGGCGCCAGCTGGCACTCAGCTCCTGGCGCTGGACTGCACCCGCGGCGAGCGGGAAGCCGTCGGCGTGCCACGCGTAGCAGTCGCGGCCAAGGCCCAGGCCGCTGATCCGCACAACGGCGGGCGCGGGCCAGCACGCGTAGCCGCCCGCCCCTAGTGAGAGGTTCGCTGTACCTGTTACAGCGCCCAGAAACCTCTCGAGCAGGGGCGGCAGCTGGTAAAGGGGGGGGAGGGGGGTATATTGGGAGGGGCAGCAGATGAATGCAGATGGGGCAGAGCAGGGACCCGATCTTCGACTCCGACTCGGACGAGGAGGCCTCGAGCGACAACGAGGACGGCGACCGCTGAGCGCTCCCTCCCGCGCGCGGGCTCGCCGCACGGCGGGGGACGCTGCGCGGAGGCCGCGAGCTCGCGCGTGGCGCGTGGCGAGCAGTGTGTGGGGCGCGGGGGAGGCGGGTTCATGGTTGAGGGTCGGGGAATGGGTCTGGAAGGCAATGGAAGGGACGGGAAGGGAACAGGAGGGAAGGGAAGGGAATGGGAAGGGGGGGGGGAAGGGAAGGGACGGGAATGTAAGGGACGGGACGGGAAGAGGATGGACGGGAAGAGAAGGGAAGGAACGGGACGGGACGGGAAGGGAATGGATGGGGGAAGGAGGGGAAGGGATGAGGGAGGGATAGAGGAAGAATACGATGCTGATGATGATGATGCTACTGCTGATGATGCTGATGACGATGATGCTGATGCTGATGCTGATGCTGATGCTGATGATGATGATGATGATGATGATGCTGCTGCTGATGATGATGATGATGATGATGATGATGTCGATGTTGTTGCTGCTGCTGATTATGATGATGATGATGGTGCTGACGATGATGATGATACTGCTGATGATGAAGATGATGTTAATGTCGATGCTGATGATGATGCTCATGATGGTGCTGATGCTGATGCTGATGCTGATGCTTATGCTGATGATGGTGATGATGACGATGATGATGCTGGTGATGCTGATGATGCTGGTGCCGAATTTGATGATGATGCTGATGATGATGATGATGGTGGTGGTGGTGGTGGTGATGATGATGATGCTGATGGTGGTGATGATGATGATGATGAGGCTGCTGCTGCTGCTGCTGATGATGATGATGATGATGATGATGCTGCTGATGCTGATGATGGTGGTGGTGGTGGTGATGCTGATGATGCGATAGAGGAGGTGGAGGATGAGACAGAGGGGGAGCAGGAGGAGGAGGATGATGAGCAGGAGGAGGACGAGACGGAGGAGGAGGAGGCGGAGGAGGAGGAAGAAGAATAGGAGGCGGTGGAACAGGAGGAGGAGGACGACACATCGGAGTTGAGGTGTTGATCAGTTGTTGAGGGGGAGGGGTGGGGTGGGAATATGACGCTGTTGCTGTTGATGATGACGATGACGATGCTGATGATGGGTTTGATGCTGCTGATGATGGTGATGTTTATGATGCTGATGCTGCTGCCGCTGATGATGATGATGTGGTTGGTAATTGTGGTGATGATAATGTTGATGCTGATTTATGCTGATGAAGATGACGATGACGATGCTGATGCTGATGACGATGATGTTGATGCTGATGTTGTTGATGATGATGAGGCTGACGATGATGATGATGATGATGATGATGATGATGATGATGATGATGATGATGATGATGATGATGATGATACTGATGACGACTGATGCTTATGATGATGAAGACGATAGTGGTGGTGGTGGTCGTGATGATGATGATGCTGGTGATGATGATGATGATGATGATGATGATGATGATAATGCTGATTGTGTTGTTGATGATGGTGATGCTGGTGATGACGATGCTGATGTTTTTGCTCATGCTGGTGAGGCTCATGCTGCTGATGATGATGTTAATGATCATGATCCTGCTGAGGATGCTGATGATGATGATGCTGATGCTGATGATGATGATGCTGATGCGGATGTTGATGCTGATGCTGACGATGATGCTATTGCTGCTAATGCTGATGCTGATGATGTTGATGCGGCTGCTGATGATGATGGTGATGGAACCGATGATTATGGTAATGATGCTGCTGATGATGATGATGATGATGATGATGCTGCTGATGATGATGATGAGGTGATGATGGTGATGATATGCTGATGATGATTATGATGATGACGATGATGTTGATGCTGATGATGACGGTGATGGTGATGATGATGATGCTGATGATGCTGATGATAATGATGATGATTCTGATGATGCTGATGCTGATACTGCTGCTGATGACGGTAATGGTGATGATGATGACGATGACGATGGTGATGCTGATTATTCTGATGATGCTGATGATGATGATGATGGTGATGCTGATGATGGTGATGACGATGCTGATGATGTCGCTGATGATGCTGATACTGATTATGAAGAAGAGGATGGTCACGATGATGCTGCTCCTGATGATGATGATGATGATGATGATGATGATGATGAGATTGGTGGTAATCGGAGGTGAGAGGGTGAAATCGAAGTGGAATGGAGAGCCCCCCTACCGGGAAATCGGTTTCGGTCTCGTGTTCGTGCGTGCCGTGCGTGCGGGCGAGGCGAAGCTGCGTGGGCGGGCGAGAATAGAGTCTCCTCCGGCTGAGGCGCGGCTGGACCAAATGTTTCCTGACCGGGGGCCGGTGGGGCGCGGTGTCCCGCCGGTGTCACGCCTCCGGCTGAGGCGCGGCCGGACCAAATGATTCCTGACCGGGGGCCGGTGGCGCACGGTGTCCCATGGGTGTCCCGCCGGTGTCCCGTCGGTGTGCCGATGATGATGATGATGATGATGATGATGATGCTGATGATGATGATGATGATGCTGATGCTGATGATGATGTTGACGATGATGATGATGATGATGATGATGATGATGATGATGATGATGATGATGATGATGGAGATGGTGGTGATGATGATGGTGTCCCGATGATGATGACGTTGGTGACGATGTTGATGATGATGATGATGGTGATGGTGGTGATGATGATGGTGTCCCGATGATGATGATGATGATGATGATGATGTTGATGATGATGATGTTGCTGATGATGATCATAATATCCCGATGATGCTGATGATGTTGATGATCCTGATGATGTTGATGATGATGAGATAATGATGAGATGATGATGATGATGATGATGATGATGATGATGATGATGATGTAGATGATGATGATGATGGTGTCCCGATGATGATGATGATGATGAGATGATGATGAGTTGACTGATGATGCTGTTGATGATGATGGTGATGATGTGGTGTCCCGATAAATGATAGTTGATGGAGTATGAAGGACGCGCGAGGGAGATGTCCCAAAAGATGGAGACATGGTTTGATGATGAGGATGATGATGAGGTGAATGTGATGTGATGGTATTTTGATGATGGTGAGGCCCGATGATGGTGATGATAGATGCTGACTGCGAGTGATGAAGAGGGTGACCCGAGCTTGCAGATGATGATCGGTGATGATGCGTGGATGGTGGCGATGAAGATGGTGTCCGATGATTGGAAGAAGTTGATGATTGATATCATGCTGATGATGAAGATGATGATGATGATGGATGATGATGATGATGATGGTGTCCCGATGATGGAAATGATGATGATGATGATGTTGTTCATGATGATGATGATGATGATAGCGATGATGACGCTGATGCTCATGCTGATGCTGATGCTGATGCTGATGATGACGATGATGATGATGATGATGCGGATGATGATGGTGATGATTGATGGTTGTGATACTGATCGTGATTATGGTGGTGACGATGACGATGATGATGAACCTGATGACGATGATGATGACGTTGATGCTGCTCATGAAGATGATGATGATGATGATGATGATGATGATGATGATGATGATGATGATGATGATGATGATGCTGGTGATAATGATGATGCTGATGATGATGATAGCGATGATGATGCTGGTGCTGATGCTGATGCTGATGCTGATGATGACGATGATGATGCTGCTGATGATGATGATGATGATGATCCTGATGCTGATCATAAAGATGATGATGATGATGATGACAATACAGAGGAGGAGGACGAGGAAGAGGAGGAGGAGGATACGGAGAACTATGATGATGACGATGATAATGATGATGATGATGATGATGATGGTGATGGTGATGGTGATGGTGATGGTGATGATGATGATGATGATGATGATGATGATGATGATGATGATGGCGATGGTGATGATGGTGATGATGATGGTGATGGTGGTGATGATGCTGATGCTGGTGATGATGCTGATGATGTTGTTAATGATGCTGATGATGATTGTGACGGTGATGATGATGATGATGATGATGATGATGATGATGCTGATGATGCTGATGATGATGGTGACGGTAATGATAATTCTGATGATAATGATGATGATGATGAGGAGGAGGCGGAGGAGGAGGATGAGGCTCAGGATGATGATGATGATGATGAGGAGGAGGACGATGATGATGATGATGATGATGATGATGATGATGGTGGTGATGATGATGATGATGATGGATGGCGAGATGATGAAAGATGATGATGATGATGATGATGAAGATGAATGATGATGATGAGTGATGAGGATGCAGATGAGGATGATATGAAGGATGAGGATGAGGAAGAGGATGAGGATGAGATGATGATTAGTAGGAGGAGAGAGGTAGGAAGGAAGGGAGGAGGAGGAGGAGTATCACAGGGAGGAGGAGTAGGATCCACAGAGGAGGAGGAGGAGGAGGAACACGAGGTAGGAGGAGGAGGAATGAGGATGAGGAGGATCACGAGGTGGGGAGGGAGGAGGAGGAGGAGGATCACGAGGAGGGAGGAGGAGGAGGAGGAGGAGGTAGGAGGAGAGAGAGAGAGGAGGCGGATGAGAGGAGAGGAGGAGGGTAGGAGAGGAGGAGGATGAGGAGGAGGCGAGAGGAGGAGGGGGGAGTGGGGGAAAGGAAGGACGGAGCAAGGAGGTAGGAGGGAGGAGGAGAGGAGCGGAGGACAGGGCTGAGGAGGAGGAAGGAGAGAGGAGAGGAGGGGGGGGGAGGAGGAGGGGTGTGGAGGAGGGGGAGGAGGGAGGATGCGGGAGGGTGGGATAGGGAAGTGAGGAATGAAGGAAGGCGGGGTGGCTGAGGGGAAGGGGAGGAGGAGAGAAGGAAGGGCGAGGAGGGAGGGGGGAGGGAGCAGGAGGGAGGAGGAGTCGAGATGGGAGAGAGAGAGGGCGGGCAGGAGAGGGAGGAAAGGAGGAAGGAGGAGGACGAGACGATGACTTGGCAGGAGAACGTCGGGAGGACGAGAGGAGGAGAAGGAGGAGGAGGAGAGTTCCTGACCGCAGGCGCCGTCAGTGCGTTCATCGAGCACCGAGTGCTGGCGCCGAGGCGCTTCCGAGCCGTCCACCCGG